GTGAAATGTTGGCTGAATGAAAAATCTTGTTTGAAACCATGTTTCAAAAAGGGAAAACTTCACTAGGTATCGTGGCGTACCCCTGTAATCCCAGCACTCAAGAAGCCGACGCAGGAGGATTGCCACAAGTTTGAGGCTAACCTGGGCAATATAGCAAGACCCTGTCTCAAAAAAGAAAGTGAGAGAGAGAGAGAGAGAGAGAGAGAGAGAGAGAGAGACAGAGACAGAGACAGAGACAGACAGAGAGAGAGACAGAGAGAGAGACAGAGACAGACAGACAGAAAGAGAGAGAGACCCAAAATACTGTAAGATTACTCCATTGAAAAAATAAATTATGTACACATATTGTGTATCTCAGTATCTAGGGAAACACTTTCAGATCAAAATAATTTGGTAAAATTCAAGGATTTAGGAGTTTTAGAAAAAGCTGTGAGACAAAAATAAAAATTCCTACAGGAGGAAAAATGATGTATGCTTCTACAAAGGAAAAAAATGTAAGTAATAATACAGTGATGAGAAAACTCATGAGACACAAAAATGGAATTCTACTGTCACTCTTACTGCACAGAGGAGCCTGATTTATGTGTGTGTTAAGGACGAAACCTCATACTTAATAAGATACTGGTTAGAATACTCAGAAGGGTTGCATCTTATTGGCAAGGAAATATTAACTATAGATCAAAGAAGGTTCTGTTTTCACATAACAAAATGTGAAGCAAGATTCAGAAGGTTCATGCTGTTTCCAAGTAAATAACTACATCTCAGAAGAAAGCTCAAGAATATTTATAGAGATTAAAAACTACCCAGCACTCAATAATTTGAAATTCACCATGTTTACCATCGGATCCAAATTAGTAGGCATTCAAAGAGTCAGTGCGGTGGACCTGAATGATTGGAAGGAAAATCAACTGATCTCAGGGACACACAGAGACAGACAATGATAGATGAGGTTAATGAAACCGCTATTAAAACTGAATTCATGTGCTTAAGAAAAATAAAAAGTACGCAAATAAAGATGTGAAAGGTGTTTAAAAATTTCCAAGTAATCCTTAAAAAGTGAAAACTACAATTTCTGAGTTGAGAAACTGCAGCAAAGTCTATTAACGGCAGATTGGACGTGACGGATAAAACAGTGAACTTGAAGATACAGCAACAGAAACTTCCCAGAATACAGCAGACAAAGAAAAAATACTGAATGAAAATTATCCAGAGTTGATGAAAATTATAAACCTACAGATGCAAGAAGCTGAATGAAAACAAGAAAAACAACATGAAGAAAATTAACGTCTAATAATTACATAGCTTAAAATCAGCGTCAGTGTGTCAGTCACTTTGTCATTGCTGTGGCATTCCCACTTTAAGGAGGAATGGTTTCTGGAGGACAGGGAGAGAGACCCAAGATCACATTTAGCTATAAACTTATGCTCCAACTTCCTGCCAAAGCCCTACCTATGAGCACGTGAGGCTTTGGTGTTGGTGGGAAAAACACCTCTATGGGAATAAAAGTTAAGACGACAGCGTATTTCTTATGAAAAACAATGAAAACCTGAGAAGAGAGGAGCAATATACTTAAAAGACTGGGAGAAAAATACATCATCAATCCAGAACTCTATACCCACTTAAAATATCAGCAGATGAGTATTACAAGAAACGTGATACTTCTTTTCAGAATTTCTCAGGCAGACAAAAGGACACCAGATGGAAATCTGGACCTGTACAAAGCAATGAGCAGCACTGGAAATTGCAACTGTCTGGGTTAAGTACAGCGATCGCGATCATTTCCTCACTGTGTCAATGCATGTAAGAGGTAAGTGTTTGAAGTTCATAACAGGTAGCGGTAAAGTGTGGGCTAATAGATAGAAAGCCAATATGGCAGAAATGGAAAAAGCCTTGGATTTCCATGTGTCTATTCCTATTTCCAATGAATATGGCCACTTTATTTCTTTTCTTTTTATCATTTTGAGATACACTTTTGCTGTGAGGTTCTGGCAAGCCTCTACTCTAGCACTAGAGAAGCTGAGGCAGGAGAATCACTGCAAGTTCGAGGCCAGCCTAGACTACAGAGATAGATCTTGTCTCAAATGGCAAAAACGAAAACAAAAGTAGAAGAAGCTTTCAGTTGGGCATGGTGGTGCACACCTGTAATTCCAGCACTCAGGAGGATTGCTGTGAGTTTGAGACTAGCCTGGACTACAAAGTGAGTTCAAAACCAACCTGAACTGAATAGTAAAACTCTGTCTCAAAAAGGAAAAAAAATAAAATAGCATAATTTTTAAATATTTAACTGATATATAAAAGTGATGCCTATTTATGAAATATATATTAATACATGTGTACATTGTATAATGTTTAAAACAGAATAAACATATCTATTTGCACAAACATTATTTCTTTATGGGCAAAACCATTCCAAATCTTCAGTGTTTTGTTTTATAAAATATTATTAATTATATTCCCCTTACTATCTGTAGTAGAACAGCAGCCTACTAGTAGTTGATTAACTTTTCCTCTTCTCTCTCACCTTCTACCCCTCTCTCCAGCCTCTGGAATCCACCATCATGCTCTCAGCTTCTGTGAGAGATCACTGGGTGATATGGTTGGACCATGTTTAATTTTTAGGAACCTCAATACTATGTTCCATAATGTCTGTATTACTTTACATTTCTACGAACAGTGTGCCAGATCTCCTTTATCTCTACCTCCTAGCCAGAACACTAAAACAATGCAAATTTATTCTTTTAAAATTCTAGCAGTCAAAGGAGTCTTTCAGTACTAAATCTGGCAGCACCAGGGCTGGGAATGGAGCTCAGCATATGTTCCACTGCCAGCACCAAAAAATGAAACAAAATGAAGAAAACAGAAACAAAACCACAAATGCCTCAGCATGGCTGTTTTCTTCTAGCTCCTCATGCTACCAGCATTCCTGGACTTGTAACTTCATCACTACAGCCTTGGCTTTGTGGTCACAACGCCTTTCTCTTCTCTGCAGTCTCCCCCCATTTCCTTCAGTAATGACACTTGTGACCACACCTAGGGCACCCTCATGCAGGACACAAAAATCTCTACTCATTGCAAAGCTTCACATCTGCAAAGCCTTTTTTTTTTTTTTTTTCCCATATGCGGTCTCATTCACAGGGGCCAGGGGCCAGGGTGTGTGGGTGTGACTGAGAGGGCACCTGAGGGTTCCCCTGGCTGATTCCAACGGTGGAGCCCACCCACACCTGGGCCTTCTGCCTCCTTTAAGAGCCCCACAATTCCCTTACCTATGCTCACTGTCGAATTCCATGGGAAGCTGTCCCTGGCAGTGTCCATGCAGCGTCTCCACCCCAGGTCCCCAAACCATCCTGGACACCACGTGAATGCTCTGAACGGGGTTGCCTGCGCTTCTTACATTGTACCTGACTCCGCCCACCTTTACCACGGAGGCGTGTACCATCATGAGATCGCCATCCACGTGCACATGTCTGCACTTTGGGCAGGCCCTCTACCCGAGATGGCGTCTCTGGGCAGTGCTGGCCCACTGTCAGGCCATGGTTCCCACCCCCTGGGGGGCCAACAACTCAGAGACCTCAGGAGGCCACCTGGGTCGTTATGGAGCAGTGTGCAAAGCCGGCCCTTCATCTGCAGAGGCTGAGGTCCCCGGTCCCCGGCATTTCCCCTCCACCGTCCCCCTCTGAGCAGCGGCCCACCTCTTCCCTGATCGCTGGTATCTCTGGCCTGTCTCAGCTGTCAGTCATCAGTCCCCAGCCCGTCCCCTCACACAGTGGGGCTCCACCAGCACAGGGGAGAGAGAAGTCTCCAGCAGGCCTCAGGGCATCTCCCAGGTCTGCACAGTGCTCGGGGCTCCATAGAGGTCAGGAGATGCTGCTTACCCAGAGTGACCCAGGGGGCCAATGCTGCCCTGGCTGCTTTTCACTCAAACCACTATTTTCATCCCACCCCAAACCTAGCCCTCGTTTAGAGTTGTGCCAATTACACTGAAGGTCACAGTAAGTATCACGCTCCAATGGACTTTTCTCTGGCTCTCACAGGCCAAGAAAGTATGTCAGTCTGGAGCTCTCTGGGCACGACTTCAAGGAAAGATCCCCGACTTGCCCGGAAATCCTTGCAGATGATCGGGACAGATCACGTAGTTCTTATGCTACGTCCTACTGCACTGTGACAGGAGCTCAGGACGCATCCAATAGCTCAGCCAGGTGGACACTGCTCTCTGCATTGTCCATGAACCAGAGAGAACTGCTCAGAGCAGTTTTACACTGCAGCCCCAAGCTACCTCCACGGAGTGTCTGGTCCTGGCCACAGTGCAGTAAAATCAGCTCTCAAAGAAGGAACTGCAGGTCTCCCAAGCTCAAGCTGCCCCAGGCCTTCATTCCGCCTTCTCCTGCAGCTGACCCTGCCCTTTCACTGGTCCTTTAAACCGCCGAGGACCTCTCTCCATTTCCCGCCATGCCCGGAGATGGCCCTGGCTCCAGCATCCTGTGGGGAAGAGTGGGTCCTGCTGCCCAGTTTACTCAGGTCTCCACCCTCACAAGGGGCCTTCCACAGAGCATCGGCTCAGAGCGCTGGGGTCAATGTATCTGTGAGCAGGCAGGGTTCGCTATTCAGAGTCATTTCTCCAATATTTCTGAATAAATCAAACATATATAGGTTATTTTTTAATTTTACAGAACCATCCACTGAAAGGGATAAAGCAAAACATTAAGTGGATTTCACTTTTTCCTGTATTTATAGATATCATCTATTTTATAATTCATGTATCAGTACTGGGAATTGAACTCAGGACCTTGTGCCTTCCAACCAGGTGCTGTGCTGCTGAGCTCTATCCTTGTCCCTGTCTATTTTAATGATGACTTCTTCCACATTTCCAAGAAAGCTTTTATTCCAATGAGAACTCATCTTTTTCCAGATTATAAAATACAATGGAACATTTTACAATTTTTACCAAACAGCAAAACTCTTTAAAAGTTGTAAACAGCAACATTTGTGACCAATGCTTTTTTTTTTTTAATTTAAGAGGAAAAAGAGAAAAACACAAAACAAAACAAAGCAGTGTAAGGTTACACATAATACATAACTACAAAAAAAAAAAACATAACAGTAAGAAATCACCTGTTAATAGATTACATAATATCATCTTGGAAATAGTTGCTCAAATCACAGTATCAAAGAATACAAAGTAGACCAATGCTTTTAAAAACTTAAAAACTTGAAGTTAATTCCATCTTTTAAGAACATGTGAAAAATTTTAAAAAAGAAATTTTCACCCACATAGAAGAGACATGCTAATACACTGAATTTATCTGGTCCCTGATCTACATCTGCACCACTTAGAAGTTATCACTCTTTTCAAATATAGTTTAGAATCTTCCCATGAACTACAAAACTGTGGCCCTGGAATATGCCCCATCCCTGCCACTGGACATCACTCCAGTGACCTTGGGTCTCTCTACTCTGCATTTTCGGAACTTGCCTCCTCATCCAGAGGAAAGGTCCTGAAGGTGGTAGTTTTGAGTTGGCCCAAAAATTCTAGGACATCCTTCTTGCTGGTTTCAGCAAGGGCCCTTGGACCCCAAATAAACTCAAGTTGAGGAGGACTGCTATTGGGCACCTCCTGACAAATTATGTACTGTTCCCGCACCAAATCTTCGGTGAGGAATTTCCGGGGCTCCCCATAGATGACATGCTCCTTCTCAGGAAACACCCCTATCTCACTCATCACCTCCCAGATTGCCTCCTCCCTGGCATGGTTGCCCTGAATGTAGATGATACCCAGGACAATGATCAGGAAGATGGTCCTGGGGTAGCCCTGGTCATTAGTCACCATCCCATCATAGGTGAGGCCCAGAACAGGGACAAGGACATAGGAGCCGCAAGGCTGCACTTTTGTATCAATGCCAAAGACCAGCTGCATGCACTGCGTGGCTTCCTTAAAGAGCACAGGGAAGCTCTCCTCGTAATCTCTGCTGACAATCCCCAGCATTTCTTCCATGGTGGCTGGCTCCTTCCTTAGATACTTAAGGGCCAGGAACTGTATCAGCACAGCCAGCTTCGCATCTAGAACATCTTTAGCTGAAGAGTCAGTATCTGACTCGCTCCCTGAAGGAGATGTACCCTCTCCCTCTTTGTGGGTAGAGGCCCCACAGGCTTCACTAGAGGGGCTGGTGGCCCTGGTGGAAGGGACTGAGAAGTGTCCCTCAGGACCCAGAGAAGGATCCAGCGTTCCAGCAGCAGAAGCCTCCTCCATGATGCCTAGATCAGAGACCAGAAGGAAGATGAGGATGAGGGAAGGAGATGAGAGAGTGGAAGACGTGAGTTCTTGCTTTAGGGCACTGAAAACCTGCCCACCCACCAAGCCCTGTGTCTCACTTTGGTCCTCAGGGTCTTCCTCAGGTTGGTAAGGCTCTTCAGATACAGACATGATGGTATGGGACAGGGAGCTGAAGCTCCGTGCTGAGGCCTCAAGGACCTGGGGCAGAAGGAGAGTTTGTGTGCAGCATTCAAAGAGAAAGTAAGGGGACATGAGTTCATCCATGATCCCGGAGTCTCCCCATAGGTGACAGAAGAGACAGGTTGAAACTGGGGTTCTGTATGCTGTGTATGGGGATCTCTCTGCCCAGTTAGACTCCAGGCAGTGCCTGGGATCCTTAGAGACCTCAGGCTGGTAACAGTGGATACCAGGCTCTGTGGTGGGGTGTGCGGGGTACTTCCATACCTGAAGACAGCACCAAGTTCCTCACCTTGCGTACTGACAGAGGACCTCTCTCTGCAGGCCAGGCGCGGCTTCTCTGCTGCCCCAACCCTCCGTGCATCAAGCCATGACGTCTCTGTGTTTAAGCACACAGACATGAGACACAGCACTTCTGTACCCTCCACCATGGGCCTTTCCCAGGGTCGGGCCAGAAGGACGAGGTTACAGCAGCCCTCCTTCGTCTGCAGCATGCCCAGGGATCCCTACTCCCCATCCTGACCTGCGCCTGCATCATAGCATCCAAGGCCACCATCTCCTCAGGCCCCCAGATCTGGAAGTTGACGGTGTGCGTGTGTTGGATGTCATTCATCCTCTCAGCCCTGTCTTTGGCCAGACAGCAGGTGCAGTTTCCCATGTCTTGAATCTGTTGAACTGACCCCACACTCCTTAGGCCAAGTGCCACAGCTCTGTGACACCAGAGGCAGGGGGCAAAGATGCTGAGCAAGGTGGAGGTCACCTTTTAATCTAGCATATGAGGTTCCCTCCACTGTCCTCCTTTGATGTGTCCCCCTTGAGTCCCTGAAAGAGCCCCTTCCTCACCCCCAGGCCCTGAGTTCTCTCTGGGATTTCAGGCAAGGTCGCGGGACACAATTCAGAGCAGGAGCACACAGACTCTGGGTTCCGCGTGCCGCGGTCCTGGGACATGAGGTCCAGCTTCCCCTCTCCCTCTGCCTCAGGGCAGGGCCTGGGGCTAACTGAGCCCAAACTGTCCCTGCTCCTGCCACCTGAAGCAACGCAGCTCTTGTGAGGAGGAGGAACTGCTGCCAGGCTCCAAGGGACACGAGCGGGCCCTCAACCTGGAATTCTGCACCACGTGCTCCAGGGCGAGCAACACAGGCCTTTCCAGATCATTTTGAGACCTCTCTGCACCGAGACTTCCTCATTTCCCTCCCCCTCCCGGAGCCCAGGTCCTCTTTGCTCTTCCCACCTGCAGCACAGCCCTGTAGGCTCTGATTTCCAGGGAGAGGGGAGTCGAAAGGGAGGAGAGAGCAGGAGAGGGGGGCGTCAGGAATGGAGCTCAGGGCCTCAGGATCTCCAAGCAGGCGCCCCTGCTGCCGCCCAGCTAAATCCCTGGCCCTCATGGGCTCCACTGCTGTTGGTTTCCAGAGGACAATAGGCTGCGAAACTGAATTGTTTTTCCTCGTGGTCAGGAGTAGGCCGGAGACTTTTTTAGAACCCTCTGGAAATGTCTTCCTGAGGCATGGCCTACTGGGTCACTCACAGCCTACACCCGGCCTTTGGCCGGGTCCTCCCCGCCCACCCCCACCCGGAGCTCCGCACTCATAATCCAGCTCCGACTCGCCCTTTAGGCAAGACAGGGTCCCCTGGAACTCAGTCTCTGGAGAGTAGAGTGGGCATTGTGGGGAAGCCCAGGGCTCATCCAGTCCCGACTCTGGCACGGGGTTTCCTTACTTACCTGTGAGCTCTGAGCACGAACCCCTTACCACACCCTACCTGCTTCGCTCCGCTCCCCAACTGCAGCGTGACGTGAATACACGTCGCCTTAACACCACAAGGCTTGACCCCCACAGAGCGTGAGCTGCTGACGTCACTTCCAGCAGTGAGTGCAGGCCTCTGGGGGACAAGGCGTGACCCTCAGAGCGTGAGCTGCTGACGTCACTTCCGGCGGTGTGTGCAGGCCTCGTGGGGGACAAGGCGTGACCCTCAGAGCGTGAGCTGCTGACGTCACTTCCGGCAGTGAGTGCAGGCCTCTGGGGGACAAGGCGTGACCCTCAGAGCGTGAGCTGCTGACGTCACTTCCAGCAGTGTGTGCAGGCCTCGTGGGGGACAAGGTGTGACCCTCACAGAGCGTGAGCTGCTGACGTCACTTCCGGCAGTGTGTGCAGGCCTTGTGGGGGACAAGGCGTGACCCTCACAGAGGCGAGCTGCTGACGTCACTTCCGGCAGTGAGTGCAGGCCTCGTGAGGGACAAGGCGTGACCCCACAGAGTGCGAGAGGCTGACATCACTTCCGGCAGTGAATGCAGGCCTCTTGGGGGAATGAGGTGTGACCCCACAGAGTACGAGATGTCGACATCACTTCCGACAGTGAGTGCAGGCCTCGTGGGGGATGAGGTGTGACCCCTCCAGAGTGCCAGATGCGGATGTCACTTCCGGCAGTGTGTGCAGGCCTCGTGGGGGATGAGGCATGACCCCAGAGAGTGCGAGATGCTGACGTCACTTCCGGCAGTGAGTGCAGGCCTCGTGGGGGGATGAGGCGTGACCCCAGAGAGTGCGAGATGCTGACGTCACTTCCGGCAGTGAGTGCAGGCCTCGTGAGGGACAAGGCGTGACCCCTACAGAGTTTGAGAGGCTGACGTCACTTCCGGCAGTGAGTGCAGGCCTCGTGGGGGATGAGGCGTGACCCCCACAGAGTGGGAGAGGCCAACGTCACTTCCGGCAGTGAGTGCAGGCCTCGTGGGGGATGAGGCGTGACCCCCACAGAGTGTGAGAGGCCGACGTCACTTCCGGCAGTGAGTGCAGGCCTCGTGAGGGACAAGGCGTGACCCCTACAGAGTTCGAGAGGCCGACGTCACTTCCGGCAGTGAGTGCAGGCCTCGTGGGGGATGAGGCGTGACCCCTACAGAGTGTGAGAGGCCGACGTCACTTCCGGCAGTGAGTGCAGGCCTCGTGAGGGACAAGGCATGACCGCTACAGAGTTCGAGAGGCCGACGTCACTTCCGGAAGCGTGTGTAGGCCTCGTGGGGGATGAGGCGTGACCCCTACAGAGTGTGAGAGGCCGACGTCACTTCCGGCAGTGAGTGCAGGCCTCGTGAGGGACAAGGCGTGACCCCCACAGAGTGCGAGAGGCCGACGTCACTTCTGGCAGTGTGTGTAGGCCTTGTGGGGGACGAGGTGTGACCCCTACAGAGTGAGAGAGGCCGATGTCACTTCCGGCAGTGAGTTCAGGCCTCGTGGGGGATGAGGCGTGACTCCACAGAGTGCGAGATGCTGACGTCACTTCCGGCAGTGTGTGCAGGCCTCGTGGGGAATGAGGCGTGACCCCAGAGAGTGCGAGATGCTGATGTCACTTCCAGCAGTGTGTGCTTTGTATTCTACATTAAGAAAAAACTGAGTTAGGGTCTCACTATGTAGTGCAGGCTGGCCTTGAACTCATGGAGATCCTCCTGTCTCAGCCTCCCAAGTATTAGAATGAGGGACAGTACACTTGCCTAATTCCCAATGAAATCTTACTTCCATCATCTCTTTATCTCGATGGTACACAGCACCACTGCCTCTGTGAATGAAGAGACAGACAGATGACTTACGAGAATGCAAGTCCGCGTGATGTTGAAATGTTAAACTTGATGAATTACTAGAGTCTCAGTGTGGACAAGCTTGAGAGCTAAAATCTGTTAGGCTGCTTTTTAAAATTTTTTATTTGGGTAATTTTGCATACTATAAAGTCACCCATTAAAACATGTGATTCCCATTTAGTATGATGTTGGCATTGAGTTTTTTATAAATGTCTATTAGTTGGAGATAAGGCCCTCCTATACCTATTTTCATCAGGGTTTTTGTGAAAAACAGACATTGAATTTTATCAAAGGCTTTTTTTCTACATCTATTGAAATAATGATGTGATTTTTTTTGTCTTTGAGACAGGGTCTCATTGTGCTGTTTAGGCTGGCCTTGAGCTCACTTTGTAGCCCAGGCTCTCTTGTGCTCACAACAATGCCTCCCAGGTGCTGGGATTATAGGCATGCACCATCACACCCAGCTGAGATGATGTGATTTTTGTCTTTGCCTCTATATTGTCCGTATTGCATGTAGTGCATTATATGTATTCATTTGCATATTTGGAGATATCTTTGACTTCCTGGAATGAAGCTATCTTGGTCATGAGGTAAGATCTTTTCAATGATTAATTGCAGTATCTTGTTGAGGATTTTGCACCTATATTCATTGAGGTGATTGGCCTGTTTGTCTTTTGCTATCAGCATAATACTAGCTTCCATGAGTAAGTTTGGAAGTGCTGCCTCCTTTTTAATTTCATGGGAGAGTTTGAGGTGTACTGGCATTAGCTCTTCCCTGAAGTTCTGCAAGAATTCACCAGTGATTTCATCAGGTCCTAGGCTTTTGTTAGTTGATAGGGTTTTTATAACTGCTTTTATTACATGGCTTGGTACTGGTCTATTCAGAGTTTTTATATTTGTTTGGTTCAGTTTTAGTAATTGAAGGGTCTCTAAGAATGTCTCTGTTTTTTTCTGGGTTCTCCCATTTATTGGAATCTAAGTATTCAAATAATGTTTTATAATATGTATTTTGGTGGTGTGATTCCTTTTTTATCTCCAGTTTCATTGACATGGGTTCACTTTTCTTTCCCCACTTCGGTAAGTTTGGCTAAGGGTTTAATCATTCTTGTTAGCCTTTCAAAAATCCAACTCTAATTCATTGATCTTTTCTGTAGTTTTATTGTTTTAGTTTAATTTTGGTATTTTCTACTCTAATCTTTATGGTTCTTTCATTCTGTTAGTTTTGGATTTGGATTGTTCTTTTTTTTAGGACCTTGGGATGTATCATTGGGGATCACTCTTTTAACTCTTTTTTAAATGCATGCATCCACAGCTATGCACTTCCCTCTTCAGACTGCTTTCATTGTGTCCCGCGGGTTTTGCATGGCTGTACTTTCACTGTCATTTGATTCTAGGAACTTTTTAATTTCTTTCCTCATTTCTTTGCCATGCAGATAAAAATATCATCAAGATTCCACCTCACTTCAGAAAGAATGACTGTCATAAAGCTCAGAAAGCAACAAATAATGGTAAGGATGTGAGGAAAAGAAACGTTTCTGCACTGTTTGTGGGAATGTAAACTAACACCAGCACTTTGGAAATTAGTATTGAGAGTCTTCAAAAACAGAAACTAGCAATTTCACTTGACTCAGTTATACCCCTTCTAGATATCTCCTTCACCATAGATTTAAAGACATTGTCACAGTGATGTATGCACGCCCATTTTTATAGCAGCACAACTCCTAATAGGCAGATCTCAGAAGTGCCCTTTATACCCATCAGTAGATGAATGGGATGGGTGTGGTGGCACATATCTGTAATTCTAGCACTCGGGAAGCTGAGACAGGAAGATTGCTGTGAGTTTGCGGCCAGCCTGAACTGCACAGTGAGACCCTGTCTCACAAAAGACAAAAACTGGATGAACAGATAAAGAAAATGTGTGTGTATGTGTATGTGTATATGTATATATATATATATATATATATATATGTATGTATATATATATATACATACATATATATATGTATATGTATATATATCATAGAGTATGACTCAGCCATACACAAGAATAAAACCAAGCCATTTGTAGGAAAATAGGTGCACCTTGAGTCCTCATGTGTCCCAGAAGAGACAGATTGGAGCCAGGGTTCTATATGTGCAAGTGAAGGGGTTCCATCTTTTCTCACCTAGACACCTGGCAGGGCATGGAATCCTAGTTCAGGCACTGGGCCAAGTCTGCTATCCTGAGTCCAGTCACATTGGGCCCAGCCTCTTCTCTGTCAGAATTCTAAGTCAGATATGAGGCCCAGGCTGACAGCTCTGATTAGAGGCTCCTAACCTGATAGGAGAGCCACAGAACATGCATCTGTAAGATTCTGTTTGTGTTCTGGAATGGAATACCTTGGTGCGTGTGTGTGTGTGTGTGTGTGTGTGTGTGTGTGTGTGTGTGTATTTTTTAAACCAAAATATCTTACCTTGACTCCTGGTTGGATTCTGGAAATCCAACCTGTGCTGGTAAGGTATTTCTCCATTTATCTGATCTCACCCCTAAAAACAAGGCCCTCAGCTCCCTGAAACCCCCAAATCAGAAATGAGAAGTTGTCTTAGACTGTAATTGCTCCTCCAGCCTGGGGCTCTCCTAGAGTGGAGAGATGGGAGGCCGAATTCCGCAGTGTTCTTTCTTTTCTGGAATAGAGGATCCACACCTTGATTGTGGGGGAGCCTGAGATGGCTCCTTCTGTGGCTGGTTCTCTTTGCTGATGTGAAGTTGCCCCTCAGATGAAGATTTTGACCTCTCTGAATTCCCAGAGACAGAAGTGAGGGTTCTTGCCTCAGGGTAGGGGTGCTCCATGAGAATATTTGACCTTCGGTAGCTTCAACTCTCCCTTTTGTCAACTTAAGGGTGTACCCCTTCATTCCAGCTTTTTGCCCAGACCAGGACCCAGACTGCCCCGAACCCCATGAGGCAGAACTGGATTGATATAAGTCATTTACAGTATAGTTGAAAACCATAGGAGTGATTAGCATGCCAAGTCTGCCTAAGGTTTCTGGGGCTGACAGAAGCTTGCATAATGTATAATTTTATTGAACTCACTTATGCTTTTGGTCTTAGTAATTGACTGTATTTTAAAAATGTCTATTTTATAAATAGGTGGAAATAATTTGTTTCCCTACCTTCTATTCTCTTAGTTTTACTATAGTTTTCATTCACTAGCTACTTGATTTGTATAGCTGACTGATCAGGCCTGCATTCTTCCAAACAAATAAGTGGACAGCGGTGTCTTAAAGAGATAAGTGGTGTGATTTTAGGGCTCCAGGGGGATCAAAGCCCTCTAGCAGAATTTGAGTGTTTTGGGAGGCTGAGACAAAGAACTTCACTGGGTGGCTTTTATTTATTTGGTTTTCAAACAAAGGAAGGGGATACTGTGGAAATGCTGCTTAGAGCCACTTTGTAGTAGTTTCCATCAGATTT